CTTCTAGCGTCTTGCCTTTAAGAGACATAAAAACCAAGTGATCTTTAATTTCTTCTTGCAAGCCTTGATGAAAAAACGAAATAAGCACTTAATCTTTCCAGTCAGTTTCTGCATATTTTGACGCTGTTCTCTGACCTTGATGTATAGACGAGAGGTGGGAGGCAGTGTCTTGATCCCTAAGAGGATGGCAAAAAACAGTCTTTAGTTTCTTTTATAATCCAGCACTTCAGGAGTTTCCCATTCCAGCAAGGCAGACGCCCACTCTAATCAAGGAGCACTGTGCTAGAATGCCTCGGCAAACCTGTCAGGCACTGTACAGGACGATAGGTGAGTGTCGCCGGAGGTGTGGGTGTTGCAGACAGGATGGCTCCAGTTGCAGCAGAGGCAGCTGGCATTGCAGTCAGGTGCGCTGAAATCTGCTGGATGGTAACCCTCAACTGGGTCAAAGCTTGTGAGTGTTGTGCTAAGACTGTATGAATTTCCTCCTGCTCCGTGGGATCCATGACATGGCTAAGTATTATGTTGGAGAAGGATTTAGGGATGCTTTGCGGAAATCAGTTAAAGTATAACCAAAATGCAGTCCAAAACTGTAGCCAAGAATCGAAAGCAAAGAGTCAAAGTAACCAAAGAATGTATAAAGCCAAGTCCAAACCATAATCCAAGGATCAAAGTCAGTAGGGGAAACACAAACTGTAGCCAGGAAAACACCAAAGGGGAATTGCAAACTGGAAGAGTAGCTCACTAGGTAAGACCAATACTGAGCGAGGAGGTAAAGGTAGCCTGGGTTTAAGTATACTAAACTGTGGAGGTGTGGTGGAGAGTGAGGGATCTGATTGGTTAAGTGCTTCTACGTCTTAGGTTGTTGTGTCCGGAAGCCAGAACCGTAACACTTATCCTAATGTTATGTTGTTCTGTTATGCTGTTTAAATACTTAAGAAAAAATATTTAACCTCAATTGTAAGTCTTTTCTGTCATTCTCTTTATTCTTAAACTTCTTCCTCCACTTGCAATTTATTTTACTCCATTTCTTGAACTGAATGATGTTCTTTTCTAGCCATTTTATGAAGTGCTTTTGTTCTCCTTATATTTTTCTTAATTGGTTTATTAAACCATTTTGGCCACTGCTTTACAGCCCTTTATTTAGCAAACTATCTTTAGACTGTGCTCATCTACTAAGTTCTTATCTTATTTTATTCTTCTTCTCCTTAGCTTTGTCTCATTACTTCATAGAATGCTTTCCCTCAAACTGTAGGCCTTTATTTAGGACTATGAATTTTTAAAATATACTTCAAAGCATGCCATATTATAATCACAGTATCCTAGCAGCCCCCTCACCTGTGTTTTCCAACTCTATCATGGTTGTTTGAAAAGACAAAATCAATACAGGCATTCCTCCAGAAGAGGATAAATGTTTATCTCTGCAATACCATATCAGCTTAATGAACTTTGGTTTTTCATATTTTATAAAATACTTTCCATTTAGCAAGGTAGCTCAGACTTTTAAGCAAGAGAAAAAAAAAACATTTTAAATAATTATTTACACATTAATTTAATATTTAACATTAATCTAATTTAGCTCAGGCTGTTATATGCCAATATGTACAGTATCTTTTGTTTTCTTTCTGTATTTCTACTTTTAAAGCCAATGACTAGCACTGTACAGTGTCACATTTTCAGTAACAATAAAATACAGTAACACATGGGAGATATAATGCACTGAAAACTACTGATGAGGGATTTTTCAAAAACAAGCTGTGAGAGAAAACGTACATATAATGTTATGGTTTTAATCTCTTTAAGCCTAGGTTGTTGGCTTCTTAGACTCACAGTTGTTAATACCATTCCATGGAAATCTTAAGGAAGTGCACAGACATGAAGTGTTTTCAGAAAGAAACCATTGTGATCTTTGATAAAAACCCTGCTTAGTTAAACTCTCACTCCTTTAAATGCCCTCACATGATTCAGCATGCTTTAGAGTTAGTTTTAACCTACAGTGTTAATAAAGTGTTATTTACTAGTATTGGTACTGTAACGCTTATGGCCGACAAGCACTGTGTGTAAGAGCCGGCGTACCAGAGCGGGTGACGTCACCGCCCTTCCCTGTGATAGCAGGACTACAGCTACTGGGCTGTAGAGAGATCTCTCTTTAGCTCACGGGGCTAGGTCGCTGCAGAGAGACGCGAAAGTCCCGGGTTCGAGCCTCCAGTCGGGATGGGGCTGACCAGATGCGGCAAGGGCGCCCGCCTGAGCCCCCGTTGCGTTACAGTACTATATCAATGTGATTGCCCTGTAGCTTAGGCTCAGATCTGGCTCATGTCAAATGTGAAACAGGCTCATCTGTTAACATTCTCACAAAATCTTAACCAAACATAAATAAAAACACAATAGGTTTATTCCATGCTGAAAAGAGAAGAGAGAAAACACAACGTTTCCAAAACGAAAACGAAACGTTGTGTTTTCTCTCTTCTGTTTTCAGCATAGAATAAACCTATTACTTGTTCCTTTGCAGACTATGAATGCTGACGCAGTTACCCATCTGAACTATATAGACATATTGGATGACAACTTCAAAGAGGATACATGGACAATATCCAAAATACAAACATTGATTAAATATTGATTCTTACTTTGTACTGCTAGTACAATTGTATTTTGATAACAGCATTTTCTATGGAGAATTTAAAGACCGGACTTTTTTTACCACTAGAGGCCAGGATAGTTTCTGTTTTCTCCTTTGGTAGAAAGGGAAATCCGCAGAAAAACTGAAAATACCAGCAATTCGTTATATGTTTGTTTGTTTATCTGAAAGATAAATTGATTATGTTTTACCTGCAATAAAAACTGAACTTCCTTCGAAAATAATTCAAACGGAATACTGTTTTTATTGCTACTCACGTAGACAGTGAAACATACTGAATAAACGAAGTTATAAATACAATATTTTAACGCACATTATATGCATTTTATGGCGCACAAAATGCCATATCACCAGACAAATAGATAATTTCTATACTATAGAAAATGGCACGGCTAAATTAAATTCAATACAAAAATATATAAACCCGTTTAACTGGAGAGCCTTGTACAAATTCCGAGTTTTTATAATCATCAAGTACTGTTAGGTTCCACAAACAATTGGTAGTTTGCAAAATCAGCAGAACGCCCTGTCCACATCTGATAAATGACTTAAAGGAGTCTTTCTTTTAAACAAATATAGATTAAGTCTCTCTTAAGTCTACATTGAAAAAAAAACGCTGCATAGTTTCAAAGAAAAAAAAACACAGGGGCGCTATGCTAGCAGGCTTGCTCTTTCCTGGCAAAAGGTCGCAGGAAGCTGCAAAGTACAGAATGTACAGACTTAGTAATAGTCGTACTGTACTGAAAAGCCACTGAAGGTGGCAGCAGACCACTAAAGGCTTTTTGTAAGCTTTAGTGCGGACATATGCTGTAAATATTTTTACCAAGAACAGAATATGATTTTTAATTAAAACGCATAGATCTGTATAAATTGGTCGGTTAGCAGACTTTTACTCCTTCTCTACATGAACGTGAAATCATCAAAAGCAAAGGGGTTTCTACCGTTGGATGTTGTGTATTATTTGCATGTTTAAAAACATACTTTTAATCCGTGTTCCATATTATGATTAATACTAGTGCGTGTAAATAATTTTCACAAAAAATGCACTCAAGTGCACCTTAAGTGAGTGAGCAGTTGGATTATTTACCTCCAGATATAAGAAGTATTGCAACTATGCTCAAGCGTGCTTTTTAATAAATGTTGTTAATAAAAGACATCGTTTTAATTATTAACTTGCATGGGAAATTAATGTTCACTGTTCTTTTTTCAGGGTTCAGGGAGGGTACAGCTAAATGTCAACGCCAGACCCCTTATTAGAATAATATATTCAAATTTATTTTGTACATGTTATGACGTCAATAGGCAGCCCTATATAATGAGAGAAGTCTCAGAAATAGAAGCAGTTACAAAGCTGTAGAGATTGATGCGTAAATCCTGTACAGTTTAAAAAAAACAACAACCCCATCTAGCCAGGTGTAATAGAAATACAGACAACTAAAGGTTCTAATATCGTTTTACATCAGTTTGCAAACGTGGCGAGAAACATTATCCAAACTGGCCTTATCTTAAACATGACGGAAATGTTCAAAACACCAATGGAAGTGGCTGTCTATCAGCTGCACAATTTTTCTATTTCATTCTTTTCTTCGTTGCTTGGAGGGGATGTAGTCTCCGTGAAACTGGACAACAGGTAAATATTTAGATTTGTGAAAATGTGTCTTAAGCGTGGCAGTTTGAAGTGAACTAAACTGTACTTTGTAGGAGGTCTCTAGTATGAAAGGAGTTTCGTAAAAATAATGTATAGGTATATTGTTATGCATTGGTAGATACTAAGGGACGTTTGAAAGGCAATGTGATTTTGTGTTTAAAATAAAAGTCATGGATAGGAAAGACTCCAGTGAGACGTCTATGTGAAACTGAAAGCTTCACTTGAATTTGAAGTGTAATTGCTTTACGATATGTAACGTTAACAGCTTAACAGTTGTAGTTGTTTCAAGTAAACTTGTTCAATGTACATTAATATGATGCAACTTTTTACATCAATCAGATTGTAAGAGAGGTACAGGAATATAAGGCAGGAGTGAGTGGTACAGTTTGCATGAAGTTTACGTTTGCGTAATTGCGGGGGGTTTCCTGTGGCTTGAAGGCTTGTCGGTTTTGGCAGGATTTAACTGGTTTGATTCAAACAAAGCACTGGAATATTCCAATTGCGATCAAGGGTACTGATCCTGGTAAAAATACACCAACGCGTCCACTTTCTAGAGCTTTTTAAACATGGAAAATTGATTAAATACCTCTCATGTGATATATTCGGTATATTTTACAAGCAGTACGTTAATTGTATTACTACCAGAAATCGCAGCTCGTCTCTCTGCTAGTTAAGTTCATGAATACAGTAATTCAGGTTCCGTTTCTTTTGCAGTGCTTCTGGTGCAAGTGTTGTAGCCATTGACAACAAGATTGAACAGGCAATGGTAAGTTGACATTGTAACTTCTATCCCGATTTATTATTGCATATTACTACAAAAAATAAAGTGCATTGCATTGTGGGATACTTAGATATAGAGAACGTTTACATTTTATGTGATCCCGTCATACAATCCCTCTACTCGGAAGATATATGCTTTTAATGCTCAATACAAGTGCAAAGGATGGATTGTTGCTCTGCAGTTTTTATCAGATCCCGTATTATTTGGTGCTTGTTGCCGGGCAAACCCTTGGCTGCATCCCCAGATTCCATTGTCTCGTTACAAACGGTTATTGGCTAAAGCTGTGCTGCAGTAGGACCGCAGTGTAGAGAGGTTCATGCTTGAAAAGGAAAACAATGGCGCAGAAGCCATGTTAGACTGAGTCGCTTGGCTTTTTAGTGTTGTACAGCAGTATAAAGTTAATTTAAGCCTGTGGTATGGAACAACCTGCTATATTTCAGGGACCTTAAAATTCTTTATACCTTACTTTGCAGTTACTTTGATCAGTAACAGGTTTTCACAACAGTAGTTTTTAAACAGGAGTTTAAGACAAAAAAAAAGCTTTTATATAAGCTGTTAGTACACTATGTTAAATGCAAATGTGAGTACATTTCAAATATGACCAAGTAAGGTAGGTCATTACAGGCAGGTTCCAGCTGTGGAAACCCTTATAAGGCTGGTTTAGTAGAAGGGGAAATTCATGTGGGTGTTGTCAGGTTGTTTTGTTCTAGAGAACAGGGTTTTGTTGCACAGATAAGATGATGCCTTCATAATAATTGCTTACACTTATATAGCGTAATATATAATATATGGACATTCCACTCAAAGCGCTTTACAGATAATGGGGACTCAATATCATCCACCTAGTGCACCAGAACGCTCACCACACATCTGCTATAAGTGGGGAGGAGAGCAGAGTAATGTAGCCAATTCACAGAGGGGGTTTATTAGGAGGCCATGATTGGTAAGGGCCAATTGGAAATTTGGCCAGGACACCGGGGTTACACCCCTACTCTTTTCGAGAAGCACCCTGGGATTTTTTAATGACCACAGAGAGTCAGGACCTCGGTTTTACATCTCATCCGAAGGACGGCGCCTGTTTACAGTATAGTGTCCCCATCACTATACTGGGTGAGCGCCCCCTGCTGGCCCCACTCACCTTAGGTTCTTGATTGACTGGATGGCGCCTCTGCAGAAGTAGGCAGCCAGCTCTGAAATTGCCTGTCCTTCCAAAGTACACACAGCGACCCTCCCAATGGCATCTTTCCTTTTCATCTAGAATTAAGCGAGTATGTCCTATCTCCCTCGGTTGTTCAGTGTCCAGTTCTCTAGTGTCTGGTTGCTGTTGGGGTTCAAATCGTAGTGCCCAAGAGCTTTCGTGTCTTCTAAGCCATATCTGGTCTTCAAGCTAGGTCACCTGTGAAATCACCTCTTCTAGCGTCTTGCCTTTAAGAGACATAAAAACCAAGTGATCTTTAATTTCTTCTTGCAAGTACTAACACCTCTTCCAGCAGCAACCTTAGTTTTTCCAAGGAGGTCTCCCATCCAGGTACTGACCAGGCTCACACCTGCTTATCTTCAGTGGGTTGCCAGTTGTGAGTTGCAGGGTGATATGGCTGCTGGCCATGTATGTAGCTAGTATTGTAAATCTTTATGAGTTGTTTCTGTTTCTCCTCAGGATTTGGTGAAAAACCACCTAATGTATGCTGTCCGGGAAGAAGTGGAGATCCTGAAAGAGCAGATTAAGGAGCTTGCAGAAAAGAATAACCAGCTGGAACGGGAAAACAGCCTCCTGAAAAACCTGGCAAGCCCTGAACAGCTGGAGAAATTCCAGTCCAGATTGCCCTCAGATATACCCATGACATCTGAGGACCAGCCAGTTGTGGTATCTGTCCAGAACTCCCCAGAAACGGGCGGCTCTGCAGTGTAAGTGGCTCTGTCTTGGGGCGGGCAGAGCCACTGTTCTTTAGAGAAATTGACCTCCTTTGAATTGTTGCACAACTACGGTGAGCTAGTTGTACAAATGAAATGAAACAGATGTTCCAAAGACATAGCCTGTTTTCTGTGTATCAGACAATCTCTAAAACAAAAGCATGATGCAAGAGAGATTGCATTGGGACAGTAAAGAGTCCGGTGCTGGGGGCCACCTTGTATCTTTCACCTCTGATGAGGGAGAGGATATGCGACAGGGCTGGCCCAGTGAACAGAGCCAGGATGCCCTAGCCCTCCATGCCGCAGATTCATGCCAAGGAAATAACATCTCCAGAAAGAGGACTACAATTACACTAGTAACTGAAGTCTATGGATTTATCACTTCCTAAGATGCAGCATTGTTAATCGTATTCTCACTCAGTGAAATAACTATTACCACGGCAACCATCATTCAAAGTTTTTATTTTTAATTCAGAACAAACATTTATGGATATGATTAACCAGATAAGACTCAACCAGGACTGAACGATTCAGCCTCACTGTTAATTATTTTGTGATTCTTTACCTGGTGTGTTGCTTGTATACGTTGGAGTCATCTTAGTGCTGCATTTGGGATTACAGAATGATTCCATTTTTAATTTTTGTGAAACGGGACAATTAATTTTGTCTGAGGAGCATTAGCTGCCATAAGTTAATGTCTTGGGAATTGATCTAACAAATTTGCATATCTCTGTAAATTTTAAGATAATGTCAAGTTAGCAAAATGTGGTTTGCCTGGTGGCTTTATGTTGAGGACCTGAAACCAGTGCAGTGTGACAGTTGCACTCTTGATGTTAGTCATCATTATCAAATAAAAACATGCTTACTTGAAAAGCTAAGGTTAAAGAACATTGTAGACTGTTATCTGAAAAACCCCATTTTCTAATGGAAAAGTTGTAATAACTACCAAAGACATATAGGATAGTCTAGTAAACCAACAAGGATCACATCTTTATTGTATTCAGATCAAGTCTTTAGACATTACAGCGGAATTGTTGCTCTTGTGTGTACTTGGGACTGACTCCTGGTATTCACTTTGATGTATCAATACAAGTTGCACATTGCATTAAACCTACGTTTACACAAAAACTGCTATTTTTTCTAGTGTTTGTGTATGTGTTTTTTATTAATAATAATATATGTAGCGTGTCTTGAAAGCAATTTTAAATACAATTTTCCAAGCAACAAATTCATTAATTCATTACATAGTGACAATATTATTTCTACTATTTTCAGTAAGATTCTAGTGTGACCCACTGTTGTGGTTATCATGCCATCAAACCGCTTAAAACCATATGATGAGGTGGTTTAGGTTAATCCCCTACTTTACTCTAGAAGTTAGCAGCTGTTTCTTGTTGGTTTGTTGCAATTGAGATGTATGGAGCTGGGGACTCATTTTTGCAGGCAGGTCTGTTGCAATTGTTCTTAAGGTAACAGTAGTTCAGCACAGGGCTGCATGCTAACCACACGTTGAACTCCCAGTTAGTGCACTGCTCATAAAGACTAATTAGAATTGAGTATCGCATTGGTAGTTATGTACCCTTATCTGATATATTTTAGCATAAATGCCAAAATTAAATTAAATTAAAACCTAACAGGGAAATTCAGTTACAGTAAATGTAAACATGAGACATAGACATTGCCTACATAAATTTACAGGTCAAATTAATTTAAATATTCTGATTCAGAGCCCCCTGCAATTTGTGCTTATTAGAACAACAATGCTAAGCCCTTTAGCACCATACTAAGGACATTTTAGCTGGCCTGCCAACTTTGTTGTGCATGTTTTTTCATTGCAAATTAACTTAAAGCTGGAAATGATCTCCAGGTAGAATTGTATTAACTAGTTTGCAATTTAGAATGCGGCCGTGTGCTAAATCCGGAAGTGACCCCAAGTTCAATTCACAACAAAAATATTTTTTCCTTGACTTTTTCAACTGAAATTACTTAAATACCTGATTAATAAAAAAGTTACAACAGAATGTGCATTGCTCTACATCTGTAAGATTTATTTAAGAATTAAGACTTAAAAGAAATTCACTGAGCTGCCTCAAATGATTTTAAAACCATTTCAAAGTACCATGGATTTAGTTTGTGAAGGGATTTTACTGGATTAAAAATCCTAGCACTTCCCGATTGCTACCTTTTCTTGTAACCTCAAAGTCATGACAGTTTAGTGTTCTATTATTGCTAGACTACACATGTAGTACATAAAGCAAAATCTTCTATATTACAGGCAGATGTTTCTTACTGGACTTTATAAAAGGCTTGTACATTTTAAGAAGCATAGAGGTATTCTAAATGCACAGTCAACAAATTACAAGATCATCACTAAACTTTTTTAGAGCATTTACAGGATGTTGGGCACCTTGTTCCAAGCCAGGGGATTCCATGATTTTAGGCAGAGGGCTGAAAGAGCCAAGGTATAGGAGCAGAGCAGGAATTGCGGTGGATCAGAATTGGCAGTCAGAGAAAGGAAATTGTAAATCTGAAGAGACTGGGAGCTGTGGGAAGACACCACTGGATCAGTGCTAGAAGTAGATTTCAGACAGATTAGGCTGGATTCAGGTTTCAGGTTTTTTAAATCTTTCAGGATTTCAGGCTTTCAGGTAGACACATTTCTCAGAATAGAGATGAATGGAAGCACTTCTTGAATAAAGGCTCTCACAGATCCGTGACATTGGCCCTCCTACACAGAGCTAAGGTTCACACAATGGTAGAGCACCAATAAAGTGGAGAAAACGGTATCAAATGGAGAACTTAACAGCATAGTTAGGAGGACTGACTGGATGATTGGTAGAATGTGGAGCAAATTGTTAAACTACCTGAGCGCGTTTGAATGCCATTCCCCGCGGGATTATTACCATTACCGTTACTATTACTGGGACAACAGAGGACTGAGTGCTGTTGTCGAATGGCCAAGACAGTTGCACTGTGTAAAACTCTGATGTCTAAAGCTTGAATTTAACCATCGGTGGAAGCTTTTGGTGTTAAATGTTCAGATAAAGAATGGTTTTGGTGTGAATTGCGTTGTATTGATATTTAGAATTTAAACATACCACATCTGTTAAACATACAACTTCTGTACCAAAAAGTGTTATGATCTGTGTTTTATTGATGTTGGTACTAATATAATTAATTATTAACTTTATTCATAGATACTGCCAATTTTTTTTTTACATTTTACTACTTTGTACTTAAAAGCCTGGTTCTTATATAACCAGAGACTCAGGATGGAAAAATTCTCAGAATACCTGTTTCAGCCTGTGTTAATTGCAGCAAGTTGCAGCTTTCAGATTGATACTTTTTTGTTTAGTGTAACTAGACACTGTAGAATAAGGTGCATTAACATGCCTTCTAAAAAGTTTGTGGTTAAAAAGGTTAACACTGTACTTACAGTATAAAAAAGAAGGATAGTACCCATCCTTCTATACCAAACACCTTAATTAAAATCTACTATAATGTTATTTCTACTATACGGTTATGAACGTTTAGATCCATAAATGCCACAAAAACCCAGTATTATCTAAATTTGAAATATGCAATTCTATTTGATCACTTATGATGCATTACCACATTTTTTGCTGTTTTTTTTCCAGAGAGTAAAAAATACCACAATAAATTACACTTTGATAAATAATCAAAGCTTATTTTGTTGTTATTTTACATCTGACATCTTGAAAACCAGCCCATTAAAATAATTTTGTGATTGCTGAAGATCCCCTGTTGTTTTATTGTTCTATAGTATTGTGTACAAACATAATATTTAATTAGTTAATAGTAATAGTTTTCTTTAATAACTGATGTAATAATTTGAATTAAATGTCTTTGTATATCTATTTTGGACACGTACGCAAATCATTCTAGCAAACTATGGAGTAAACAGGACATTCCAACTGATATACAGGTCATACATAAAAAGGTTTGGACAGCGGATGTGATGAGGAAGTAAAACTTAAAACTATCTCTAAAATTTAAAAGTAAAATAATCAAGTAAGTGCTAAAATACTTTCATTGTGTTTCTTCATGTTTAAACTTATAATTAAATCTTAAAAATACTTAAAAAATAATTGATCAATCAAAAATATTTGGATTATATTTGGAAGGCAAATGTATGACAAGTAACTATTGTATCATTTGTTGTAACAGAAGAAATAAGGTTCTTGATCCCGAGATGAAGTAAAACAGATGAGTTTATTGCATGCAAGAAACAATAAAGCCGAAGTCTTGTTTCCCGCAAGAAACAACAAAACCGAAGTATTGTTCCCCGTACTGTTACAAACTTTTGGGTTATATACAGTTTTCTTCTCCGTTTCTGACGTCACTCGGTCTGATGGTAAAGAGGGGGGTTCATGGTATTTGGCCAGTTTATGATGTTCTGGGCAAATGGTAAGTTTAACATTACACCCAGGGGGGTTCCTAGCTGGCATCTGCAATCCTTATCAGTTAACCCCCTTTCCTGCCATAAACCCCTGCTTGTGACTTGGAAGTCTAAACCCCCTACAGAAAAGATTAAATTCAAACCCCCGTCTTCACATCTTTCTTCATTATTCAATATAAAAAAGGTAACAATGATGAAAAAAGGATAACAGTAATGCATGTAATTTCAACATCTTATGTTAAAAATGGTTGTTTTTTTCTATTTGATCAAAAGAAACTTACTCCAAATTTCTGCCTTCTCTAAAGATTACTGGATTTTAATTAGGATATTAGTAAAGTGCTGGGTGTAGGGTAATTGTAGTGAGCACTTCTCACAGAATTGTGAACATGAAGATACAGTATAGTACTTCAGTATACATGAAGAACATGAAGATACAGTATAGTACTAAGCAGTAATAAACTGCTTTACCCCATATACACTTGTGTCACTCATCAAGATTTAAACTAGAAAATATTACTTTAAATTGGTTGTGATATCTTTTGGTTTAAGAAGTATTATTAGAAATTTTGACATGTGTAAGGCCTAATTATAACTTTAGATTGGTGGTGATCCACTCCGGAGGCTTAGTCCAGACCTTTTCATAATCAGGAAAATATTCCTCTGGCTCTCAATTTGAAACCTGAGCTACAGATTATTTCCTTCTGAGGGTCATCTGCCCATTTGTAAAACTGGGCACACGCAAAGCCTACTTCAGACCATATTTAGTAATAAGGGTAAACAAAGTGTCTTTTTGTGGCTTTTTTAACTGCTTTCTGTTTGTCTGCACTTGCCTCTGCGTCACACCAGTTTTCTCTTGCTTCAGTAGTTGAATGATCCTTTTCAGAGCAGGACTCTGTAGGACGTATAGCTGTAAAACTGTATGTACTTTAACAGATTCCACAGGTAAATATGTATACCACTAATCTCCCAGGCTCTTAGTTCTTCGAATAGACAAAAAAGAAAACTTTATGCTTCAAAGTGCTGGTGACCCAGTGTCTGCCAGATTCCATTTCACCAGAGATTTCCTTTGTAGAATGCTTAATTGAACTAATCATTGTTGTAACCAGAATAATTTATTTTCAGCTCTTAAACAGAAAATTCTAGGTAACTATACATTTTAAGTACTGTGGGATGTGAAATTGTTCTAAGAAAATATATTTATAAAAACAAATAGAGTTTCAGTTAAATGATTGGAAAGAGTGAAAAACAATAGTTTTTCAGGGCAGAACTGGGAAGCATTTTCCTGTCATTCTTACATTATAGATTATAGATGATGTGTAGCAACCTACACTAAAGTTAAAAATTAAATGTGTATTCTTAATGTTTTTATGGTTGTGGTTGAAATGGAAGTGTGTGTACAGAATATATCAATTAATTTACAATTCTTCAAGTTCAATGTGGATACTTTAATGCACTTCTATTTTCTTAGTTAAATAACAACTAAAATATATAATTGAATAAATAAGATTCTGTTACTAACATGCATGGAACAAAACTTTTAACAGCACTCATCAAAATTAATTGATATCATTTCTAGTAATAAATAAAGACAAGGTATAATGAGTAGGCTAGACAGGTACTGATGTAATTAGCTGTCCTGTTGATGACTTTAAATTAGGTATACGCATCTAATGCACAAAATCCAGCATACAATTGAACTAAAAAAATGCTGTCA